GTATTTTACATTTAATGACCAAACCCAAAACAGTGTACATGCAGGCCTAAAATACTATGCAAAATAAGGCCTAAAAAGAGGTTTAAACACAAAGAGAAAAAAGGAAACTTCAAACAGCAAAAGACCCTTGATCAAACATGAAGAGGGGGTCAAAATGAGGCCATTTACAGTTCGGACCAGAGCCCAAAAATATAAGCGCAAGAGGCTAACAAAACATGCAAAAATGAGGCCAAAAGAGGGATAAAGAGGCAAGTGCTAAAAGGAAGTCTCAAACAGTGAAGAGCCCTTCAACAATGTTGAAGAAAGGCTCAAAATAAGCCACTTCACAGTTTATAATCAAGCTCAAAATAGTTTACAAATAGGCCAAAAATACTATGCAAGATAGAGGCATACAAGAAAAGTAAAGAAAAAAGTGGTAGCTAAAGACCTCAAACAGGGAGAGGCCCTTAAACAAACATGAAAAGGAGCTCAAAATAATGCTATTTTCAGTTAGGGTCGGAGCCCAAATATGCAAGAAAGTATGGCTAATATATTGAGCAAAATAAAGCACAAAAGAGGGAGAATAGGGACTCACCCTTGTAGACTATGTCTTCAACAATTCTTGGACCAAGTTTGGTGGCTCTCAACCTCTGGAAGTGGCCTTGAAGCTACTCGAATGGATGATGGTGGTGTGGTGCTATGTGGTGGTATGGAAATGGTGTAAAGGGGCTTAGGGTTTGAGGGTTTTTGGAAGAGAGGAAGAGAGATAAAATATGGGAGCCTCTAAGCAATTTTTGTAACCCTCAAAATAGAGCTGGAGCTGCTATTATATAGGCAAAAGAGGGGGAGAAAAGGGGGGAAAAATGGGGGGGAAAGAATTCAAGTTTCCCCCCAAAAATGCAGCCCCCCGAATACAAAATCTGTGGGGAAACATAATGCATATCTGTAATGTACCTGGAGAGAGGATCATGGCCGGCTGGTTATCTAGGGTTTAGGTGGCCGGCCGGCTCTCCCCATAGCCGGCCGGCCAAGGGTCAAAAGGTTCAATGAAGATTAGTGGCCGGCCACCCCAGAAAGAAGGCCTCCCACGTGTGCACAACACAACCATGTAGTCAAAAACTGGAGAAAGTGAACTAGGAGAGAGAAAAGGCCACTTTTAGGAGGGGTTCAAAAGGGTCACAAAGAATTACTGGCCGGCCATGTGATATTGGTGGCCTCCCAGGTGTGTACAACACAAATATGTGATTTAGGGCTGGAAAAAGTGGCCTTAGGGTGGTCAACATTGGTTTTCAAGTGAGAAAAACGGGCGACGGAGGGCGATGGAGGGATAAAACTGGTTGTCAGAACAATTACTGGCCTCCCACCCTTCTATGACCTTTCTATCAATGAAACAGAGGTCCCTGCCAAAAATGAACCCAAACCGATGCAAAATGAAGGTTCGGGGGCCGAAACGCGCAGCTCGAGGCCCCAAAAACTAACTGTTAGGCACCGGAAGTGGGCACTACCCCCTAGACCCCCGCGAGCTGACCGGACAGTTCGATCCCCGTCATAGTCAGCGAAGTGGTAATCATGAAAGAATTAACACCACAAACTTCTCTGCAAGGCACAATTCGGGTTGGATTCGCATATAAAAACTCATAGTCTCACTGAAATAAAAGTGCGAAAATAAGTACAACTGAAAGAAATTTTGTTAGATAGGATTGCCAAGGATAAAAACCTTACACATTTCATCATAAAATATAATTTTACTTTACAAAGAATGGAATGATTTGTTGAGTTTGTTGATCCCAGAGCTTGAAAATCATAAATTTCACTATAGCTAATTTAGCAATATTAGTCAAATGGCTGAATTTAGCAATATTAGTTAATTTATACTCTATTAAGTTCTCTAGTTTGCATAAATTTTAGAAGAAAAATTCTGTGGTGGTGATACTGAGGAATGTTTATTGAGTTACATGATCATCTTGTGGATTTGTCTGATGTTTAGTTGACCAGGATGATCTTCAGCTCTTGACATTCATAATGAACTATCTAGTGTTTTGTTTTGAATTTTTAAGTTGTTAGTACTGGTTTGGAATTGGAAACCATTTTGGTTTGTAATAATGTGCAATATGTGATGGGTAGTAGTTAGGATTGATGGGAAGAGATGGCTTGAAATGAATCATTTACCTGATAACAAAAAATATCTCACATTACTCTTAGGGAATCAAGATAAAAAAAAAAGTCAAGGACCTAGCCATTGCCATGGTATTGGTGGTCTAACCTAGATTTTATTAGTCATGGTAATTTTACCATATGACAAATTAAGGTTATGTTAGTTTGAACTATTCAAATTGATTTTGAGTATTTTATAATTTGATTATATAGATAAACAATTTGGTAAAAACTCATCTCTGATCAATATGTAAAGAAAACAATTCCTTCAAAACTTTTTCTTGGGTTGAAGTTTGGTAAAAACGCATCCGTATTTCCCTACCTTCCACCTTCCCTTTTTAAACACTTTGGAAGGATCCCATGATCCATTATTTAGGTTCTCCTTTTACAAAACATAGCATTAGTTGTAGTTTCATATCCTCTCTATTGAAAACTACCCTGATTTGTTATTTAGAGGCATGATGTGAACCTCAAGTTACTTATGTTAGTTTTCCTCGTGTTTAGTGAATATGATTGCATATGAAAATAAGTGGTTCTAAAGTCTTATGATAGAAACAGTGGTTGCCTTATACACAATTTCTAAAATTCCTGTAAGTTGCATATGAAACTGATAAGTTGATTCAACAAAAAGTTTATTGGTAACTTGAACATAGATAAAGCAAGAGCTTTAATCTTTTTCTAAGTTGTAATGCATAATATTTTTTTTTTCCATCTCTTGATTTCTGAATTAAATCATATCTGAATTAGGTTACTTGATGGATGAAATTGATGCAGTTGAAGGCTTTTTGTTTAAACTTTTTTTTTTTTTGGTTACATGCTTAATTAGTTGCCTGGATTAAGGTTCCATGGTTATATCTGAATTTGAACTTTGTGTTTACTTGTAATTAGGATTAACATGTCAATGGGTTCAAACCATGATGGCTTTTTGCAAAATAAACGAGGTAAATGTGGGAAAAAAACAGCATTGTACATATCAGAATCAAAGAAAAATCTAGGGAGGTCATATTTAAAGTGAGCAGATAAAATTTATGACTACTATGCATGGGGAGCGGCTCCTACTGGGAATGCATCAAATATCCAAAGGAGAAGTAAAGCTATTCATATGAAGAATGAAGATGAGAAAGCGAATGATTATGATTTTGATAGAAATAATGAAGTTATGGTAAAATTGGAATGACTTGAGGCAAACCAAGGAGCTATGAAATTTATTATGTTTACAACCATAGTGGTGGTTGGTTTTACCATGCTAATGATGTTGCTCAAGTGAATGTAAGCCCTTCTAGTGAATGTAACCATTGCTTGTAGAACTTGTATTTGGGTTGTGAAGCTTAAACTATGGGTTTTGATATGTGCATGTAAAATCCAAACAATGCTTAATTAATAAAGTTACATATGCTATATCAATTGTGTTGAATCTAAATGTTAGTTATTTGAGAATAGTAGATTCCTAACAAAATCTGTATCAAATTGGTGTTATTTCTAATTAGTAGAATTAATGAGAATTAGGATTATTGAATGGGGACTAGCATATTGTGACAAGGGTATGAACTTATCGTACAATTATTTGCAGAACATCATAATGCATAGTTTTCCCAAGAATGAAGATCAAGATCAACCCCAAAGAACATAGATTTCCATGCCTGCATGTATGGTCATTCATTCATCATTTTATTTTTATTTTACTTATATTTTTTTTCCCAAAGAAATCAATTGAAGTATTATAACATACTCCACAAATCCAATACTGTTAAATCCTGTACAACATACTCCATGAATTGAAGTAGTGTTTCTCTTCTCCAGAGCCCTTGACCTGTTATTGTAGTTATATAATGTCTCATAGCCAAATACATTGTGCATTGTAAAAAATCAAACCACAATTCAATCAGAAATGATAACCCCCAATACTGCATGACTTTGAAAATAGTAGAACTAATCCACCAAAATACAACCTCATAATAATGTCAACCGTATGTAATGTCAACCATACATACATTGTTCCCATTGAAAAAACCAACATAAAAAAAGGCCGAAAAACATAAATAAAAAAAAGACCAAAATCTGAAAAGATAACTTCATCATTGTTCAGTGCAAGCCTTTTAGGGATGTCCATCTACATGACTGTGAGTAAGACTATGTGAGGCTTGCGACACTTGGTGTGACGACCCCACTGCATATAATAATTAGCATTTAATTAATTAAGGAGATTTGAATTTTAATGGCATATTATTCAAATTTAATTTAGGATTTATGAAAAGTGTGGAGACTGATTCATATAAGATTCTATTGAGAATTTATTTTGGAATTAGAAATTGAAAGCCTAAATGGCTCAAGGGATTATAATTGGTGAATTGAATGATTTTAATTTCGAGTATCGGACCATATGGGAGTTTAATTCAATATTCAATTCAGTTTAGTAAAATTGAGAATTTATTAAGTGGGTCCGAATTAGAGTTGATTATGTTGTGAGAATTGAGAATTAAGATTAAATTTATTTATGAGGTGTTCAATTGAATATGCAATTTATTAACGGAGATTCAGAATTTGATCTGAAATTGAAAGCATTAATGATTTGAGAAACCAAAATTGATGATGGTAATAAGTCTTATTTGATATTTGGAGTCTTTTGGGAGTTTGATTAAAATCTTATTGAGATTGAGAAATTTAATTATGATTAATTGGGCCTTAATTGAAGTTAATTAGACTAATTGAGTTATGTGGGAATTGATCAATTAAGACTAAATATGGTTAAATGTGGTTTAATTAAGCTAATTGTGTGACTAAGAGTTAAGCTAATCCTACCCATGCGACTAATTGTGAAATAGTGTGATGTGATTAATTGTGGGGTGGTGTGCAGAGGATTATACCCCTATAAGTTGTGTTGGACCAATAATTTAGTGTGTATATGTACATGTCATTGTTGTGCTAGAGCTCAAAGAAGAGGTGCAAGTGTGTGCACACGTGGGGCATTAATAAAAAGTGACGTGTGTGTTATATGTGAGTCAAGAAGAAGAGAGGGAGCTCATTCTTGAGTCCATCATTTCTGCTGGAAGAAGCTTAGAAAGAGAGTGAGTTTGAGAGCTCAAAGGGTATAGAGAAAGAAACCCACTTTGTGATGGAGATTGAAGGAAGAACAAGGGGAATTAAAGGGAAATCAACTCAATTTGTTGAAATTAAAGTTTAAGGTATGAGATTTATGCTTGATTTATGTCAAATCTCCTTCTTATACTGGAGATTGAGAAGAGTTTGGAATTATATTCATGGAATTAGAAGGAAATTAGATAGTTAAAGAAGAAAAAAGCTCGAGTTTTGTGCTGGAAAATTGAAGAAGTGAACTCAAGAATTCAACAATCCAAAGCTCTAGGTAATAAATTAAAGTTTAAATCTTGTAGATAATTTATTTAAAAGCTGAAATTAAAAAAAAAATAATTGGGTTCAATTTCATATAATTAGAAAGAAATTAGTAAGGAGGTGAAGAAATGAAATTAGGTTCAAGTTAAAAAAGTTAAATTTAGAAATTAATTATTTTGGATTTGATTTTAAATATCTTGCCTGAATTTGAGTTTCATTTCTACATGCATGAGCAAATTTTATAAGTTTTAATACTCCAATTATACATGCATTATAGATTTCTATGAATTTATTTCATTTTTTGATGAAACAAGAACTGAGTTTGGGAAATTATGAGTTTATGAACAAATGAGCTTAATTTTTAAATTAAAGGAGTTTTGATTTAAATAATTTAAAATTGATCATATTTTCTTCATTATTTAAGAATTTGTATGTTTTTAGACAAGCCATGTATGAACCCAAGTTTTGAAATTATATTTTGAAATTTTGATTCATATTTTAGAATTTATGAGTTTGAAATTAGGTTTGATATGAAGAAAATGAATTAAATCTAAATTTGGACAAATTAAGAAATAAATTATAATTTTAATGTGACAATCAAGAATTAGTTTGATAATATGTAAATATTTTTCTAAGAGCCCTATAGTTTTCATGTTTTGTAAGAAAAAGGAAGAAAAGTTTTGAAATCATTATATTCATGAAGTTATGGTTTTAATCTTGACAAATTAAGGGGGTTTTTGCATTAAGATTTGGAAATTAGTTATGTGTTCATATTTATTAATGACATTACATGTTTAAATATGCATAAATCTAAGTTTTGAAATGAAATTTGGAAGCTAAATTTTCAGTTTTGGAACTCAAAAAATTTACAGACCGCTCGAGCGACTAATTGGTGGCTTGAGCGAACATTACAAGCTTCTAGTATTTTCATAGACAATAAAGTCCGCTCGAGTGACTAAGTGGTAGCTCGAGCGGTTAGACTATTTTTAGCATATTTTGAAAAATCATACTTTATTTATATTTTCATCTCATCTCCTCCCAAACATTTCTAAGTAAGAATTGTAACTCATTGATGATTAATAAGCTAACAATCACCATAAATTAGTTGGTTAAAGAATGAGTCATTGACTTAGCAGTAATTGATTAAGAAGCCAAGTAAGAAATCGGTTTATTTGGAAAAGAATGATTTAATAATGAAAGAATATGTGAAATGAGAACTCTATTCATTTGAATAAAGAAAGAATAAGCATAGTAGAATTTCAGATTACTTAGATAGAAAAAGATAAGAGAAGTCAAGTTTGATCAAAGAAGTGATATTGTGTTCCAATGTACATATGTTATGTGTTTGTGTAGGTCACGCGCTATCGTCTACCTGATTTGTCTGATCTCTCTAAACTATCTGATTTGCTTCTGGAGCTATCTGTAAGTAATAACTCTGTAAAGCTATATTCAACTTTAAGTATTTTTTGAATGATATGATATGAACCATTCTCTGAAATGCTACTTTATGATTAAATGAATGATTGTCCAACTTTTTAAATGTATTCGTGGCATCCTTAACATCATGTGATATTTATTATATGACGTGGTACCAGGGTTGGTTATGCATAACTGTTTATCTGCTCTGTATACGTCCCTTTACGAGTCATTTGGTCCCTTCATGGGTCATCTGTACATCTCATGTATTTACGAGCCATCAGATTTATTAATGCTAATAGATGTACCACATATGATTATCTGTGAGAATCTGATATGAATATGAATCTGTTGCTGATCTGAATTTTGTTTTTGAATCTTTTATGGGACATCATTCATTAAAACCTTTACTTTGTTGTTATTCACTGGGCTCCAGCTCACTGTATTATTTATGTATGTAGGTGATCAAGCGCGTGACCAGGCCTAGAGCATTTTCCTGGAATCTGTGGTGGAGGTTCTGGATACATCAAGTGGTGAACGCTATGTGATTAAAGTTTAAATTTTTGTTTATTTTATAATTAGGGCTAAGTCCCTTTTTGTCTTATTTGTATATATATATATATGATGACGTAAGGATGATGTGTATATATATGTATATAAAGTCTAAAATTTTTCTGTCTCATATATGTCTGTACAGCTCAATGGATATTGTATATTTATTATTTGCTTCCACTAGTCCCTAATAATTTGATTTTTGTTTAAGATGCCTTTGGTAATCTACGGATTATTGGCCGGTTACGATGCTAGACCTATAGGAGCGGGTTTGGATCGTGACACTTGGATTGCAAACTATTAAACACTAGTACCTCGAAGCAACTCCTGCAACGATGTTTGAGTAGGATAGACTACAGTCACTGATTGAGGCATGTTACTTCCCTGCAATAATGTTAAATTTTTTAACTTATTATTTCAATGTATAGAGTACCCTTTAAATGTGAAGTATGTAAGCAATTAAAACTCACATCATATGTAGCATACATAACAAGATGAATGCTTATACCACCCAATGCAAAGGGAGGTTGAGGTCGAGATTGAGAAATATAAACACCATGAGCATGACCCTAAATACAACCAACATAAACAAAATAATATATGAAATAGTCAAAAAATTATAATGCATATTCATTAGAAAAAAAAAACACACATTATTAAATATTACCTGAACATAATTACTTCCCATGGCGAAATGAGGTTGAGATTGACCTCGAGGGAGTATAAGCAGCAACACCCTATATAGAACCAATGCAGACAAAATCAAAAATTTGTCGGACTACATTGCAAGAAAAACCAATTCAAGACATGTGGGAATTTTAGTTATCCAACAAGATTAATAAAGTAAAACAATGGCTCCATATGAGGTTCAATTTCCTAAGGTCTATACATGCCAAGGTCACTTTCTACCCATCGTCCTCGATGCCAAGCATCTTGAACGTCTTCACTATCTGCTCGAGCCATTTATCCTCTTTCAAAGGCTCTTTAAGATCACCCAAAAACTTATCCAAATTTGACCAGAAGAACTCCCTCTTTAGCAAAGATGACCTTGTCTGGATTGGACTTAATTCTCAGCCCTGAGATTGTCCATAGATTCCAGCAAAGCTCTGGCCATATATCGGGCCAAGGCGCCCACGGCCTGCCAACCTACTAGCTCGGCAACATTAGCCTGACCAACTCCCTCCTCTTGCATCGGAATACCATTTGGTAACAACACTTCATATTGTTTAGGCCTACTACGCCTACCACCACCACGTCCACATCCGAACATCCTAATAAAGGTAGCATAGGAGATTAGCACATTTACAAATGTGTCAAAGCTAACTCACTCGCGTCCTAGAGTGATGGACAATAGTAACTCACTCCACATAAGTACATAGTCACGTAAATACATATGAATTTCCTTTCTAGATAATGATTGTTCCACGGCACTACCAGAGTTCCAATTAGAAATAGCAGTGATCAAGTGCTTTTCTAATAGGACTTCTACAAACCCATAGATCCAATCAACATCTTAGAAATTAAATTCCACACCCACTTAGTCACATAAGCATGTTACCACATAGCACATCATACCTATAACTATCTCTATCAAGCGAGATAAACCCATTGTAGTAGAAACCACTTCCCACGTACCCAAAGTATTCAAACCTGGTACGCTCTGATACCAAGTTGTAACACCCCGAAATAAAACAACAACCCATCGACATTATCCATAAGTGACAACAATGATAAAGTAATTATCTTCCATTAAATCTAATTGAGTCCACAAAAAAGTAACATATGCGGGTATACATTCACAAGTCTGGCCTTGAATCTATAGCATATGTTGCAAAATACAAAAATAGAATGGAAATTGTATAGATAAGAAATGCCCTAAGGGCTTACAGCTTTCCAAGTTAATACTTGGTTGCAACAAAAGTGAATTTAGATCTAATACAGTTAAAACCCTTGGCTTATACAAAAATAAGTATAACAAATACATAAAATGAAGCCCTTGCTCTAATTCCTCCCAAGCTATTGCCTTGGTGGAGGCATATTATCAGCACCTAAAATGTTTTTCCCACATAGGATGAGCCAAAGCCCAGTAGAAATAACTCAACACAATTTATAAAGTTTAACAGAGATATAAGGTGATATGCATGTGCAATGCTCATACAAAACATTTTATCTCTCCTTTCAAACCATGCAATGCCAAGTTTATATCAAAATTCGTAACCACTTCCATTACATTAGAAAACAGGACAATGAATCATATTTTGGGAATTTTAAAACAATATAACCTTTCCAGGAAATTTCGTCCGGAGGAAACTAGGACCCATGTAAACGTAGGCTGTACAAGCATTACTATTACCATTTCACGAAAATTTTGTCCGCGGGATCGGCACCCATGTATATATGCGGTTTTTAACTTATTTCAACAAGATTACATTTACTTCCCAGATTCACCCATTTTTCTCAAAACAATAATATTTTCAATGTTCAATGCAAATGAATAAGAAATTGGTTTCAGTTCACCTAATCCTCATGCAATTTCTACAATAATCATGGCTATCCTCCTCTGATAGCCCAAAACAGATATCTCTAAATAGGTAAACAATTTTCCATAAAGATAACTTTCCAAATTTCAAGATGTGAGTAGTAATACATACCCAACTCCACCATTATCATCAATATTCACCTAATTTCACATTTCCAACATCAATTCTATATATTTATACAAAAATCAACATTTAAGATATTTAGGGCAAAGTCCCTTTTTTCTTTCAAAATCAATTCCAAGTATCAAAACCAACCACTTTATCACAACTCAACCTCATTTCCAATTCCATAACCATTTTCAAGATTTCATTTGAAAACCTGTCACTTGATTTTTAAGCCAAAACTCTAATTTTGTCCAAAAATTCCCAAATCACAAAGTTGTCTTAGAAATAGCAAATACCTAAGTTAAAAGCCATAAGAAAGTGTAGAAAATCCCTACTACAAGCTTAAAAGGGGAAAGAGGAAGAAAAATCCAAAAGTCAACGGAGACGAAACGACGATTTGTGCCAATTAAAGCGAAGCCCTCGACAACATCTGTACTTAATCTCAAAGGAGCAAGGTAAGAAGATGCTTCTAAGTGAGTAGATCTGAAGATCCTGTGTGAAAAAGGTGAGTTTAGAAAGAGAGATAGAGAGTCACGGTTTAGAGAGGGAGGGGAAAGAGAAGATAAAGTAAAGAAAAGAGTAAGTGAAGACCCTACGTATAGTACTAGGTTAAAATAAAATAAAGTCCCAAAGTCAACCCAAAAGAATAAGTCAGAACCCCTGAAAAGTAGGACCCAAAACTGCACAAAATCTAGGAAAATAACACAGGGGTTGACCTTTGAGCCAGAGGTGTTGACCCTCAAGAAGAAATGGCAAAACGCCAGCATTAGCAGCAGACAGGGTGTCGACACTAGATTTCTGTAGCTAATTTCAGTTCTAGCAGTAAACAAGGGTTGACACCCCCCAAATTAGTGTCAACCCTAGAGATCATCAACAAAAGGCAAGTGTTGACATCACAAAAGGCTAGTGTCGACCCTAAATTTCAGTAGTTAATCAGGAACACAGTAGCACGAAGGTGTCGATCCTTTCAAGGTTAGTGTCGATCCTTGTAGCTTGCTTTTTGTGCTCCTTTCAGATACGATTAGCTCTACAGTTTGGACTCTCATGGTTCTGAATCTGATTTCACAAGTGCAATGTGAAATTGATAAACATAAATGAGTCCAAATCCGACAAATCTTTTAGAAAATTGATTTTGAAAAAATGCCAAAAAAATGGACTATTTTGCCAGATTACAAAGTCGCCACCTAAATATTTTCGAGAAATTTAAGAAACCCGTGGTTCGTGCCAAAGGCCACTTATCTGTCATCATCAAAGTGTCTCGGCTCAGGAACTTAGGTATGAGACGGGAAGGTCATGAATTGAGCACCTCACTCACTCGATCAAAGATCGACCTTTACTAATCAAGATGTGATTTTTATGTACGTTATATGCTCTTGTTCTAGTTATTATGCTATCATCACTGCGTGATGTCAAACAAATATAGACTAATTCACAAAAGTTTGAATGTTTCGATTTCATGTTTGCTTTGAAAAGTGTTTTGAATATGCACTACTTTAAAAAAGTGATCTCTTATGTACATTAATCAAAATCATCCAACTTAATCGAAAAAACCTTCATCTACAGGCATTCAAGAGATATATCAATTAAGCACTTAGCCACATGGTAAGCATGCTTGACATGGCAACAATCGCACACATGCAATATGCTAAAGCGAAAACGCTTACCTAGTCCTCAACCGAGGCAAGCCAAAAGGAATAAAATAGTTAGAAAAATGCATGATCCTCACAATACAAATGGCTAATGCAATACATACAAGATGCAATTACTAGGTTCAGTTTATTTAACATGGCATATGAGTCAATTCAAGGCATGAGATAAATCATATATTCAAGTAAGAAGGAAATTGACATTTGATTAGTATGATGAGCCAAACCTTTATGCATGCAAAAATGGATATGTTAAGCAGGGTAATGGTATGAAAAGTGTAAAACATGATGCTACCATTATAAGCAGATAAATAAAAGGAAAAAAGAAATAGAGGCTGGAAGATATGCACAATATTACAATTTTCCCCTCACGCAAGAGGGTTCAAATGTCTAAGTGTTCGAATTAACTACTTATTACAAATTTGAATAAATAATAACTAACGAACCATCTAATTTATTACAACATTAATATTGCAGCAAGAATATGTAAAGAATGCCAAAGATCGCATGCGCGTCGAGTTTTCAGAAACTGCTATTTCTGCCCTCTGTGAAACTGCTCTGTTTCACCCTCAGCCACAGCCCTCTGTTTCAACCAAAAGTTCCCTATTTACCATGCATTAGAGCCCAGCCGGCCCCCAATGAGGCTCGGCAGGGCTCAAATAAATCCGGTCATGCTTTATTTTGTAGCAGAAAAATATTTTTGTACTCTGAGGTGAAAATAGTACAAACAGAACATTTCTAAGCCATGTTTGTTCCTTCTGCTCTGTTCTATCATGGAGAAACTCAAGGGAAGAGCATT